ACATATCACCGTTTTATAGCTGTACCCAGCTAAGAAACTGAGATTTCCCGCACAGGAGTTTGAAAGTCAATGTGAAGGTCACAAAATTCCTGTGAAGCAAGTATCATTTTCAACTTAACTTTACCACTGAGGGTGCAAAGAGCCACTATACAGTTTTCCAAGCAAGGGGTATGCTATGGCCAACAGCAAGAATGACAGCAGTTACAGCCTCCTTCTCCCCTGCAGCCTCCTCAATTGAATGTAGAATGCCCAGGACTCTTGTCAGCCTCCCTTGCAGCTAGGGGTGGCCCTGTGACCGGCTGTGGCTAAAGAGATGGAAGAAAGTATTTGCTGGGGCTTCTGAAAAAGTTTCTGCTTTCCTGATCAAAGGGATAGGCAAGGGCAGAGAAGCCTCATCCCACTCTACCATCCATCTCCTTCTTGCATTCAGTGTGAATAGGATGCCTGGAGTTGAACAAAACAAGCCTGGAGACATAAAGCAAAACACAGAAATAAAGAAAAAAGCCTAGATCTTTGCAGACATCATGGAGCAGCTGACCCAACTCCAGCAAATGTGATCACTGTACTTATTATGTGAGGAAAATTACGCTGGTTGTTTAGTCGCTGAGAATCAGCGACCCGTTACTTACAGGTACAAGCATCACTGATGCCTTCTTATTCAGAAATTGGGGAAAGGCGGAATAAATCAAAAGGCTGCACACCGTGCCCGCCCCTGCAGAGGAAGCAATTCAAGAACACAATGCCCATTTAAAACCTGGACCAAATGACATGTTTAAGTTCCTAACAGTTTTCATTAACAAAAGTTAACGTAAAGAACTCCTACAACAGAAAGCATTCCACAGTGATTTAAGACCAGGAAAGGTCAAGGCATCCTCTAATCAGATGGGTTTCAGTGGAAACATCATCTCTGGGTGTTCTGCCAAGAGCGTCCATGACTGCCAAATCCCTAATTCAAAACCATATACAAGAATGCTTTAACTGAAACGCAGAAGTTAAAAATAAGACATTTAAATAGTAATCTCCTGTCTCTCTCAAAGATAAATGTGCCCATTAGCCCCGGGTGCTAACAGGAAGATTTCTTTCTCTTACATTCCAGGCGACAATTTTTTTTCGAGCCATTCACAAAGAAATCAGCATGGAAAAAAATAATTTAGGAGGTTGGCTCCCGCTCAGCTACCTCACTGAATTAAAGTGCAGTCAGGTTCATAACTTTTAAGTGGAAATATTAAAAATGTGTATAAAGCCCTCTGCATAAGGTACTGCCGACTGGAGAGAAACCGGCACCAGGATATACAAGGCGTCACATGCACTCTGCGGACTTTACCACCCAGTTAGAGCAGGACAAGGTACACATGAAAAGTTAAATGAAATATTTCAGTAACAGTTCTAGACAGCAGAAGAGATATCACAAAACAGTACATGATTCATCATCAGAAAGACAGTTGCTGACAATCACTGCGGCAGGATTTCAAAGAAGAAAAAGTCGCTTCAGGCTCGGGAAGGTCTGGGGAGACTTTACAGAGAAGGCAGGATCAAACTCCGTCTTGAAAGACGCATGGAAACCTGTGTGTGGTCAAAGGAAGCACAGGAAGAGCCTCTTAGAAATGCGAGGTTTAGGCCAGGCAAGGTGGCTCGGGCCTGCAATCCCAGAACTTTGGGAGGCCAAGGCAGGAGGATCACATGAGCCCAGGAGTTTGAGACCAGCCTGGGCGACACAGTGAGACTCCATCTCTAAAAAAAATAAAAAATAACTAACAATTAGCCAGGGAATTAGTGTGGGGATGCATGTCTGTGGCTCCAGCTACTCGAGAGGCTGAAGTGGGAGGATCACTTGAGCCCAGGAGGTTGAGGCTGTAGTGCAATATGAACTCACCACTGCACTCCAGCCTGAAAGACAGAGTGAGACCCTGTTTCAAAGGAAGGTAAGGGGAGGAGAGGGAGGGAGGAAGGAGGAAGAGAAGAAGAGGGAAGGGGAGGGGAGGGGAGAAGGGAAAGGGAGGGAAGGGGAGGGGGAAGGAGGAGAAGAGGGAAGGGGAGGGGGAGGGGAGGGGAGGGGAGAGACCGGGAAGGCAGGGGAGCAGGAAGGCAGGGGAAGGGAGGGAGGGGAGGAAAAGAGGAGGGAAGGGGAAAAGGAGGGGAGGGGAGGGGAGGGGAGGCTGATTTTTGAAAAAGAATAAACCTTCAAGGCAGGTGACTGGTGCAGAAACGGAGGCCGCTGGGTGGCTGAGGTAGACGGGGCCAGGTTAGAGAGGCACATGCACATTCAGGAAAGGATGGCAGCAGAAGGTGGGAGTGACCCAGGTGTCCATTGGTGCATGAATGGCTAAACAAAAGGTGGTATGTGAACACGATGGGCTGTTCTTCAGCCTTCAAAAGGAAGGAAATCCTGACACATGCTACAACCTGGATGCAGCTTGAAGACATGATGCTAAGTAGCCAGGCAAAGAGAGAAAATTCTATACAATTCCACTTGTATGAGGTACTGAGAGTGGTGAAATTCATACAGAGGAGAGTGGTGGATGCAACTTCTGGGAGAGGGGAAGGCAGAGTTAGTGGTAATGGGGATGGAGTTGCAGTTCTGCAAGATGCAGAGCTCTGGAGATGGATGGATGGATGGATGGATGGATGGATGGATGGATGGATGGATGGATGCACAACACATGCGTAATTAATACCATTGTCCTTAAAAACAGCTAAGAATGGCAGCAGACAAGTGAAGTTGCGAACTGGGGCTCCAGAGAAGAGATCCGGCAGTCAGCTACCAAAAATAAGGGCGACCCCTGTCTTCAGGCTCCAAGCCTGAGACCCTCAGGCTCCATACCTGAGCAGTGAGCAGATGGCATTCTTTTCTTTCTTCAACAGAGAACCCCTCTTCTGATTTTCTTGGGAAATACTGAACTCATTTTAATTCAATGAAGGACTTTTAGAATGTTTTAAAGTCTTTGGCCTCGGAATCGGAGTAAGAATGCAGCCCCTGCAGACTTCGTGTCTGGTCCCTGCCCTCTCCCCATTGTCTTACTCCAATGGATGCAGACACAAAAAACAGACAACCCAATCCGGAGAAAATAAAGCGCAGGTGACGCTTGCGTGCGTGGCTCCGGTTATGTGGGTGGCAAAACTGGGCTTCATCTCAGGAACCTGTCTAATATCTAGCTATCTAGTCTGTTCTAACCCTTCCCTAGGAACCCAAGAGAACCCAGTGCGTGGTAAGCACTCAGTAACTGTTTGAGATTCATACACCCTCATGATGGAATGGCTTTAGATTCTTCCAACAGTTCTAAAATAAAAGTCGACCTAGCTGTGGGTATCTCCAGAAGAAGTCTGCGGCACCCCACTCTAAATGTGACTCCTGGGCCCAGGGTTATTTTGGTGGCACCTCTGTCGCAGGTAATCCATAACTCCAGTCATCATGGTTCCCTGACAAGGGTTTGCAGTCCACCCCCACCTTGAGTTCTGGTCCTTCCCTGGAGCTTTAGACAGGCCTCCTGGGTAACGATCTGTAGAAACTACCAGTTTTAGAGTGGCTTTACTTTAACAACAACAAAAAAGTGAACTGGAAATATTAAAACTTCTTATCAGGTTCGCCAATGAGGAAACTCCCTCCCTGCATTCCTTGGGCCCTTTTGCAACAAGCTAAATATTTTTAATTCTCAGGTAGACACGGACATGGGAAGATCAAAAATTACATCAGGGCCACAGGAGCTTGAGCTCACCGGGCTTGCAAGCCTACATTTTTATTCATGAGCTCAGTTTTTATGCTTGTTCTCTTACTTTGCTTCATTTTGAATTTAGGAAAAGATGGCTAATGTGTTAGGTCGCTTTCACTGCTGGGTCTTGTTAGGCCTCAGAAGTCTTTAAGGACAGACTGCTGGAGGAGTGAAAGGGAAGAGAGCACATGGAGTTCTGATCATTTCACTCACAAATTTTGCCTTTTAAATGTAGTCCTTCTACCGCCGCTTCAGTGAAAGATGGTTTCCTTATTGTTGCTTATTAGCCATGACAGGCAGCAACATTCGTTCAGATACAGTCTCCCGTCACCACAATGATCCAGTAATGCCTGCAAGGCAAAAGCCTGCGCAAAACTCCTTCCTTCTGGAAAGCTTCTCCCGAAGGCACCAGTTCAAAGCAAACCTCTATTAACTGGAACGTGAACATCTGCGGAATTCTCTGGATAGGACAATTCTACTATTCTTACAGTGATCCTAGAAACTAAGACATAATAACTTACACTCCAGTCACCAGGAAACCAGGATCTGTTCATGGGTGGCAGCATCACAAACCCCCAGCGACAGCATCTGCCCCCAAATAAACACCCACCACCTGACCTCAATATCCAGACTTCTCTTTTATAGCAAGGACCCTTCCTGTCAACCTGCCCTCACAGAGAGAAAAAGAAAACAGTCCATTTTTTTTTTCCACGAAAACTGAATGTAACAACCAGACAAAATATAAGATAGTATCAAAATTAAATAAATTAGATACACTACTGGCTTATTAGCCCCTAGACACATTTACCAATGTGATGTGATGAAAATTACACACTCCATGTTAACAAGACACAATTCTTGTGACATGGGGCAATATAGAAATCTCTTACTTTCTACTGATTCTTTCTTCCACACACCTTTCTATATATACACACAGAGGGCAAGGGGTTTGGAGAAGAGAGACTTGGAAAGAGGATACGGAGAGAGGTCAGCGAGGGCAGAACTCGGGACTGAGCCTTCTGGGAGGGCGGAGGCATGGACCCTACTAGATGGCCACACCTGGGACCAGAGGCAGGGTCCACAAGAGAGGGTAGGACCAGCGCCTGCCTTTGCATCTTATATAAATCTGGTCCATAAAGAAGCCCCAGCCATCAACCCTGGGGAACACACAGAGCTTGGGCATCTCAAATTGTTCTTTGAGCATTAAAACAGATGTAATGTGCTTCACAGATGATACAGAAAGGACAGGAGTGGAGAGTTAGGCATATAATTATAGTAACATAAAAATAAACATGCTTTGGTAGGGTAGATTTTAATAATATTGGTAAGGAGCCAAATTACAGAATACCCTAGAATGCAGAATACAAAACCTCAGAGACAAAATAAAAAATCGTGAAAATATAAGAGCACTTTAAAAAGGTAATAATCTTTAGGATAAAGCAAGCCTTTTCTTAACAAAGGTACTGAGCATGTTTAATAAAAATGAAATGAGATTAAAGAGAAGGAGCAGAGCCCCCTAGGGCTTAGGAAGGTGACGTCTGTGTAGATGAAGGCATGGAGCCAGGGCACAGATGAGCTCTGAGCACCGAGGGGGGAAACCATCTCCACGTATGCAAAACTTCTCACAGTCCACTCATGGATAGGAATTAATTTTCTCTCCAGTTGCAGAGGGGCCTTGTAAATGAATCGTGTTGGCATTTGGAGGAGGGGAAACACATCCATGTTGGGGACCCCTCCCATCCATAGCCCCAGCTGCCACCATGGCAGGGCATGGGCTTCAGGAGCAACAAGGAGACACAGGCTGTCTCTTCCAGGAGCAACTCATTATTCAGCTAAACGAAATGGAAGAGCTCCATGTGACCAACAAACCAAAACTGAGCCAAAACAACAGGGGTCCCCGCCCCCAGAGGGATAATGTGCCACCGCCCTGTGTTCGGCAGGAAAGCAGGGATGGCGGAACTCCTGGTTCGGTTCCACTCGTCATCTTTCAGGACAGATGCGCCACCCTATCTCGGGTTCCGGGAGGTTGGGCGGCTGGGGGTTTCCCTCAACCCTGCAGCAAATACGTCAATGCTACTGACATTTGTGGCCTAATTTTTTTCCAAGGGTGGTATATGCCGTGCTTCACTTGGCCAGATGTTCGGATCAGTGTGCTGCTTGTCCCCGATAACACAATTATTTATTTGTCCTTCCAGCACAGAGGCGGCATATGCAGCACTGAAGAGGGGCTGCCGGATTGTAGCGGATGACAAACAGCTGACTCTCCTCTGAAGAGCCAGCAGCATCCCAGCCAGCCAGGATCCGGGAGGCAGAGCCACCCTCCCTCCAGTCCTGTGTACCAGCCCACCTAGGCGCCCCTATTTTAAACCCTAAATCAATAGTTCAAACAGATGTAGATTCCATGGGACAGGAGAGACAGTAAGAAAGATTTGAGGCTTTATATTCTTTAGATGTCTACTTTTGCTGGACCGGCCGGTCAACAGTTATGTGAAACTTCAAGATGAAAGGTATTAGCAGCTTCTTAGAAGAGGATAATCCCAATCTTCTGGAGATTTAATGAGATGTAGCTCACTGAAGCATCTGACTCGGTCTACTGTTAATTGAATCAAAGTCAATGACAATCTTGCTGCACTTTGGTATGAATTTCCTAAAAATAAAAAAAAAATATATATATACAGTTTTTTTTGTTTTTGTTTCTGAGACGGAGTTTCGCTCTTATTACCCAGGCTGGAGTGCAATGGCGCAATCTCGGCTCACCGCAACCTCCGCCTCCTGGGTTCAGGCAATTCTCCTGCCTCAGCCTCCTGAGTAGCTGGGATTACAGGCACGTGCCACCATACCCAGCTAATTTTTTGTATTTTTAGTAGAGATGGGGTTTCACCATGTTGACCAGGATGGTCTCGATCTCTTGACCTCGTGATCCACCCGCCTCGGCCTCCCAAAGTGCTGGGATTACAGGCGTGAGCCACCGCGCCCGGCCATATATACAGTTATTATCTGGTGAGTAGTTAAAGCAGTTTGTTTACTTTGGCTTAACTCATAATTTCTGTGCAGAGAAAAAAATGTCCTGGGATTCGCTTGGTATTTTGCCTACATAGGAGCCAATTATAGTGCCCCATGCCGAGAGAAAACGGACCAGAAAAGACTAAGATGAGAAAAGATGCATGGGTGGTGTGGTTTGTATATTCTTCAGCTATCTGAGTTCATGAATTATGGGAAAGTCAAAGGATTTCTAACAGGTTAGCTGCACGACATGATATCTGATTACCAGTTTTCCCATCAGATTCATCTTATTTTCTAGGAAATTTCTGCAGCCGACTTGGAGTGGCTCTAATACAGAAAATAGCAAATTTTCTTTTACTGTTTACACATGGCAAAAAACGACTACCTTTAGTGAGGAGTAATTTTTCAAATTACGTTCTAAAAATGCCAACATAAAATACACCAACTTTTTTTTATTTGCTCATTAACTTTTCACTCATTCCTCATTACTTCTCCAACTATTAAAAAGAAAATATTTGGGAACAAAACATATTCTTTTAAGAATCACCAAGCAAGAGTAGATAAATCATTGGAATTTGAAGTCTCTGAAGGCACCACAGTTGCATTCATGGGTCTGCTAAGCCGTATCCCTAATGGCCAGCCCAAGGGGCCAGGCATGTCACCTATGACAACCGCCCCACTGCTGCTGAACACCAATATCACCAAGTGCTGGAAAGCTTTACAGTCCCAAAGGAATTTTCTACCATGAACTAAAGGTGGTTGAACTTACTTGCAAGTAAAACATACCTCATAATCAAAGATAATAATAAAAATCCATAAGACTTCAAATCTCAATGCAAAACGCTGCTGTAAAAAGAATTCCCGGGTGGTGCACACCTGTAATCCCAGCACTTTGGGAGGCCGAGGCAGGCGAATCACAAGGTCAAGAGATCAAGATCATCCTGGCCAACATGGTGAAACCCCATCTCTATTAACAATACGAAAAATTAGCCGGGCGTGGTGGTGCACACCTATAGTTCCAGCTACTCAGGAGGCTGAGGCAGGAGAATCGCTTGAACCCGGGGGTGGGGGGGTGGGGGCGGAGGTTGCAGTGAGCTGGGATTGCACCACTGCACTCCAGTCTGGCAACATTGCAAGACCCCGTCTCAAAAAGAAAAAAAAAAAAGAATCCCCAGTGTTTCAACCAGGCAGGCCACTTTCATCCAAAAATTTCAATGGCAGGGTTGTTACATTTGCGAAATTTACCAAGGTTTGGTGTTCCTCTTACAAAACGTGTGAATTTTTAAACTTCTCACTATTTGAATAATTAGTCTAACCCCTGGAAAGTTACTGAAATTAAAGTATAATCATTAAACAAATTGTCAGGCCGGCACAGTGGCTCATGCCTATAATCCCAGCACTTTGGGACGCTGAGGCGGGCAGAACACAAGGTCAGGAAACCAAGAACATCCTGGCTAACATGGTGAAACTTCGTCTCTACTAAAAACACAAAAAATTAGCAAGGTATGGTAGCACGCGCCTATAGTTCCCAGCTACTCAGGAGGCTGAGGCAAGAGAACTGCTTAAACCTTCGAGGTGGAGGTTGCAGTGAGCCGAGATCTCGCCAATGCACTCAAGCCTGGAAGAGAGTCAGACTCTTCTATTTCAATTAAAAAAAAAAAAAAAAAAACGAAGCCTGTAATCCCAGCACTTTGGGAGGCTGAAGTGGGCGGATCACCAGGTCAAGAGAATGAGACCATCCTGGCCAACATGGTGAAACCCCGTCTCTACAAAAAATACAAAAATTAGCTGGGTGTGGTGGCGTGTTCCTGTAATCCCAGCTACTCAGGAGGCTGAGGCAGGAGAATTGCTTGAACCTGGGAGACGGAGGTTGCAGTGAGCTGAGATTGTGCCACTGCACTCCAGCCTGGTACCTAGCAACAGAGCAAGACTCTGTCTCAAAAAAAAAAAAAAAATGAAACAAAACCAAGTTGTCTTCAGATTTTCCTGCCACTGCTCTGAAATATCTACCCCTATAATAGTCTTTAAATTCTTATAACCTTGCATTTCTCCAGACTCCTCCAAGTGTGGAAGTCAGGGATCACGAGAAAGAGAAAAGGTCAAACACGTCTCTTCATCAGCCTTCACCCCACCGCTTCCCCCCAGGACTCCCCGCTTACCGGAACGCCACCCCAGCCATATCAAACATGAGCCTCGCAGCAGTTGCCTCGTCACTATCATGGTATTTATCAGACATGAAAATAACTTCTCTGATACCTGTAAGGTAACAATGGGAGCTCCCTTAGTATATGCACACACAGATGCTCCACAAGACAGCTGGGGCGCTTTTAGCGTCCATGATTAATGACCTTTTCCAAGTGTGCCTGCAGACAGTGTCCAGTCACTGAAATACATGCTGCCACTTTCTAATACAGCAGAGGGTAGATTGCATCTAATCTTCCCTCCAGTCTTTATGGATTTTTAAAAAACAAATGCAAAGGGAAGTAGTCAAGCCTTGATCTGATTGACCAATTTTTCTTACCACAGGTAATCAAATCGTCTTTATTCACAAGGCAGCTTCTCTTAACTAATGGGAGGACCGATGGAAGGAGTGGGGACTGCTGGGAAATTCAGCGGTGAGCATCACTGTGCTTCCCAGCATGGCTTTGCAGGCCACTTCAAACCAGCTCACAGAGAGCAGGTCTGTTTTCTTGTCCTGATCTCAGCAGGCAGCGCTAACTCCGGGAGTCAGGAATCCCAAATGCCCTGCATTGAAGGCTGCTCCTCCACCAGCCTCTGAAGGGAGAGGAGGCTGCCATGTGGGGTCCACACTGCTCAGCCTACAGGCCTGCCACCGCCTCCACACCTGAGCACCGAGGGGAGAGCTTCCCAGGAATGGCAACAGCAATAGCGACGGGGCCTGAGCGACTCCTCAGTACCAGCAGACTGCTTCTGTTCTGAGATCCACGGGGCTGGTGACAAACAGCCCCTTTAAACCACACATCTGGCTAAACACGATAAGTCTTTAAATCTCTAGCCGAGAGTTTTATGGAGACAAAGTGTGGTTGAATCTTAGATGTGACAGTTTGAAAAAGGTGAAATATTCAGAATACAATGGTGTAGATTTATGGTAACTGTAACATAGGAAAACCTGATGGCAGAGTACCATTTGGGTCTTATGCCATTTATATGCCAAGATATGTTTAGATCCTCAAATATCTACCATGTATTAGATACAAATTAAAATTTCATATACAGACTCCCAGTTGACCTTGTTTCTGACAGAAGTTCATTTCTCTCCCTCCCCGCTAATCTATGCACAATATGTCGGAGAATAGTGAATTGACAGTAATTATATGCAATGCCTGTGTTGTTTTTTGGCAGCTTACAGTTTAAGAAGTTGCAAACTAAATTAAAAACATGCTAAGAATCACAGAGGATGCAATTAGTCTTAGAATACCTGGCACCATTCAGAAACAAAACACAGGAAATGCCTTGCAAAGTTGATAGTGCAATTAATTTAGATCTAAACAATAGCAATTTAAGATCAAACACATCAGCGAGAGCTACTGAGGAGCAGGCAGCAATGCAAATGTGACAAATGAAAAGACCCCCGTTCCTACCTGCCTGGATGATGAGCTTCGCACATTCATTACAAGGGAACAAGGCGACATACATAGTACAGCCTTTCACATCGGTCGAATTTTTGTTCATGATGGCATTCAGCTCAGCATGGCACACTGCGGGTTTGAAAGGGAAAGAAAGAAAAAGTTTGGCTGCAGCTCGTAAAGAATTTACTAAGTGTTAACACATTCCATTCCCCCCTCTGAAGTAACATATAACAGACTCAATTTAAAACATTGATTAGAAATAGCAAGTACCAAGAATACCAAATGAGGCCCACGTGGTCTGGCTGGTTGTTGATGACCAGCGAGGCCTGAAGGCACCAGAGTGGCCAGGACGGCTGAGGTCAAGCGCCTGCAACCACCCTCAGCACAGCTCCACAAGACGCAGGGTGTGAAAGTACCCACCTGAGCTGGCTATTGGTGTGCTGACATGCACACACAGGGAGGTTGACTGTGGCCATTAAGAGGGCAAGGCAATTTTAGAGCAAGAGAATCACGAAGTGAAGATGCTGAGTGTGTCCATCCTGACGGATCTGCTTCACCGCATCGTGCTCACATACGCACAAGAAAACACGCCAGCAGCCAGACAGGGTCTTGTTCTGTCACCCAGGCTGGAGCGCAGCGGCACAATCTCGGCTCACTGCAACCTCCACCTCCCAGGTTCAAGCGATTCTCCTGCCTCAGCCTCCTGAGTAGCAGGGATTATAGGCACATGTCACCATGCCTGGCTAATTTTTGTATTTTTAATAAAGACAGCATTTCACCATGTTGGTCAGGCTGGTCTCAAACTCCTGACCTCATGGTCCGCCCACCTCAGCCTCCCAAAGTGCTGGGAGCACAGGCATGAGCCACTGCACCGGGCCCGTTTGTCCTTTATAAGAAATACATTCATCCCCTGAAATGGCAACGACTAGTTGAGTTCTTGATATACTGGTCCATTCTATCCACCATCCTGGGTCACATCTGGACCTGCCTGAGTTCAGGGTCAAGGTGAGCCTCTTCCTCCTTCTCTTGAACCTGGCAAAGCCGACACATCCCAGGTCCAGTTTGGCTAGATACTCCCACTCCCTAATCCACAGGGAACATCCTCCTTGAGTGGGCGTGAGTGGTGCTCACAGCACAGACCTGGGTCTGACTCTGTCATCCTGTCCGGGAGGTTTCTAGATGGCCGTTTTGTATCGTCACTGGATTTTCCTGGGTGTGTTATCTCAAACTATATTATAAGCTCCTGATGGCAGTGACTTGCAAACTTCTCTGATAACAGAGCACCCTTAGGAGCTTCCAAAACATGGAAATCTGTGTCCCATGCCTGTGCAGTGTGATGGCCTCGGCTGTGGCTTGGGCTTGGGAATTTGAAAACGAGTCCCCGGGGGATTCCAACATGCAGACAAGCTGAGGAGGCACGGCCTGCTGGCCGCCCTGGTATCCCCAATACATGCTAGGCAGCAAGCGCTAAAATAAGTATTTGTCAAACAAGCTAATGACTGACTTCTGGCCATGGCCCACATCACACAAGCCACCTGGTATAAAAATATGGGGGTCTTCCAGACCTCCCCTACCCTCTGCAGCCCGCCTACCTTCTACACGTAACACTTCCTTCCAGGAATTCTGAGGCCTTAAATGAACAGTGGCCCCAACTTACGGCTCTCGTACATTTCAGTCCCGACTCACTTCATGGACGATCATTTACTGAACACCTACTCTGGGTCGGAGAGACGAAGGCCTGGCCACCCTCCTCAGCCAGCTTCCCATGTTCGGGGGCAGCTACAGCCACCTGTGTGCCTGGATCCTCCAGCAGCTCTGCAATGTTGCAGGCATAAGGCTGACCAAAAGCTCGCTCAGGAAAAGTTAGGAAATATTCATTTTTATCTACAAATTCCATGTTTTAGGAGGTCTCAGTCCTGTGTCAAAAGGGGCGGTCTCTCCTGGCATTGCAGGAAAATCTAAAGAGACGAACAAGCTGGATTTCACTCATCAGAGAGTAATCCTCACTGGCCAGGGTGACCAGAGGCATGCCCCAGGACTTACAGGTCTCACAAGTCCTGAAGGCATGGGAGGACAAGGAAAGACAAAGAAGGGTTCGAGGCCCGTGATTGGGAAGTACAAGGTGTGGCCATGTGGGTGCTGGCCTTGGAGGGGCTCCCGTGGCCCCTTCTCCCCGGTGACCAGGATGCTCCAGAGCTGGGATTCATGCTGCTTGGTGTCAAAAACAATTACATGTCATTGTTTCTTTTATTTCCCCCTTGAGGGCAAAGCCCAGCCTAGGTTCTTTGTAACTCCCCCAGAGTCTAATGTGATGCCGTGAACATAACGGGTGTTAAATATTTATTGAATGAATAAAGGAGGAAATGCAGATTCCAATTATTGATGGAGACGTTGGGAAGTACTGAAAGTCCCCTTAAATTCAAATATCAAAAATATGCTCTCCCATCTAATAAATACTTTGTGATGGTGCTAGTATTAATATTCAGGACTATGGAGTCTCTACATCTGTTATGAAACACTATGATAGTGTCCTCTAAGACCTGTCACGCTGGCTGCAACTAGCTTCCTCTACCTCATCCCAGGCAGTTTGGGGCAAAATTTAACAGTATAGGTCTGGATTCATTAGTGAAAATTACCATATGAAACAGATTCACTTGGGCAGCATCTGACATCCCTGTGTATAGAAGGCGATTTATAGAAATAATGCACAGGATTCTAAACAGACTTCCTTTCTTTTAACCAAAAAAAATCACAAGACGAAGAATGTAAAGCTTCTTGTTAAAAAATATATATATGAATGTATGTATGCACACACACACACACACACACACACACACACACATAAAGCTACTGGGCAATATGAACAATGGTGTGTTAATGAGACTCTAAAAGGAACAATCCAAAATCCCACATACACAAAACTGGACACTGAAGAACATGAAACTTCAGTGTTCAGTGGAGGTCATAAGGATCAATCGACCCCGGTCTCTCTAGCCATCCCCAGACTCGCCCCGCCCAGCCCTGACTGATGACCACTGGCTTCCCCAGCCCACACCTGTGGAGCTGAGGGGAGAAACTCCAACCCAAAGCAGCACCTGAGGCCACAACCCAGCCCCGCCCACCTCCTAACTCCCAGCCGCCTGTTGTGGTCCTGAAATCCAGCTTCACCCTTGTGGCTGCCACTCACCTCTCATCTCCAGGATCTCCACGGCCCTGCAACTCTGACCATCGCTGTCCCCCTGGCCACCCTGCACCTCCTTATGGGCCTGTTCCACCTGAGAAGACAGGACTCGGCCAGGCCTCAGCCCCCAGACTGTCCTCAGAGAGGAGACTGGGAAGAGTAACTGGATGACCCCCTCCAATTTGTTTAAAGCATGTAGGTCAGAGTAAAGTTTGGGGACTCATTTACTTGTGTCCACTGGCCATCCACACTGATCAAATGACAGGCACCTGTCAAATTCGCTTCAGGCCACAAAGAGCACTCAATGACTGCCTGGCCTGTGACAAGCTCACACCCGCCCTGGCAGGCCAGACCACCACAGGCCAGGCATCCTCCCCTCTGTACTCTCCCCCTCTGCCAGCGAGTATGGACAAAGAGCTTTGCAACAAGGGGCAGCACGAGGGCTCGAGGTCCAGTTTGCCACGTGGAAGCTGGGTAACACTCCACAGGGTGCCCGGGCGCTCTTGCAGTTTGCAGAAGTGAGGGTGGATCTGCGGAAGTGCATCTCCAGCTAACTAAATAAAAGCCATTTCAAACACACTAAGTTCATCCGACGTTTTTGCTTTTTTCCTGAGGTGTCCAGTTTCGTTCCTCAATCCTCCAAACAGCTGACTTTCTCCAAAACAAGCTTTTACTACCAAAACGTGGCCGCCTCTCCCGGGAAACGCAAGGCTGTGCTCCCAGCCCCTCCCTCCCTCCATCTCTGAGGGCACGTGCTTCTCTCTACTCGTTTTTCTCTGTAAGCATGCATACTTAGTCCTTAGTCTAAAGAGGTCTCACCATTTTAGGACTCTTTTTCTTCCTTTCAAGATGAAAATATCTTATCTACAACTGCTACTACAATTTATTTTTTAAATGGTTGTCTTCTGACTTTGTAAAGCAACTAGAAACGTAATTTCTAGTTTTCTCTAAAACAGTGTCTGTCAAACTGCAGGTCATGAAATCAGTTCAGGGAGTTACACCAGCTCTTTCTTCTTTTTTAAGGAAACAGGTAAGAAGGGAAGGATAAAGATCAGAATGGATCCCACATACAAGGTTAAATACTATTCCTAAAAATTATGTTTCAGGTGGCAACTGTGTTTGCTGGGTCGCCACATATCTACCAATTTCCATGGCATAGACAGTTTTTCACACAGCCAGTCTCCCACTCGCAACATGACATGGACTTGGGAAGCAGTGTGCACAGCTGGCTCTGATGACCTGATGGGAGCCAGCTCCACAGACCACCAGACGGTCTCATCATTATGAAAACCCAAGGTGCCTTCTGGGCTGGAACCTTTGGATTCACCTGCTCTCTTTGGACTCCTCTCTCCTCTTAAAACCTCTCAGGACCACCACACACTTGTGTTCTCCTTCTACTTTTCTGTAGGTCCTTTTATTTTTCCTGCCTTTGCAGGCACTTCCCAAGGTAAAATATTGGTCTTCGATTCTTCTCCTATAGTCACTGACTTTTATTTTTTAAGACAGACTTTTGCTCTTGTCACCCATGCTGGAGTGCAATGGCTGGATCTCAGCTCATTGCAACCTCCGCCTACTGGGTTCAAGCGATGATTCTCCTGCCTCAGCCTCCCGAGTAGCTGGGATTATAGGCGCCTGCCACCATGCACACCTAATTTTTGTATTTTTTAGTAGAGCTGGGGTTTCACCATGTTGGCCAGGCTGGTCTCAAACTCCTGGCCTCAGGCGATCCACCCGCCTCAGCCTCCCAAAGTTCTGGGATTACAGGCCTGAGCTACCGCAACTGGCCAGTCACTGACTTTAAGAATCCATCTGTTCACAGATTCTCAGACACTAGATCCATCTGTAAAACCCTGAAATCTGATATCTAGCCATAACTGCCCATCTTACCCCAGGCCTTTTCTTTTGGATGGTCTGGGGCTTCCGTGTACCTTTCCTCTATGGGTTGAAT